TGGCAGCACGAATTATAACGTTTCTATTGTGTAAGTAGCGATTGATTCTGCTCGTGGCGAAGGGTACTTTACTCTTGAACCTAATAGGATATAATTCAGTTAGGGGTTGGTTCTTGAGAAATGGATCAATATATTAACTTTTTTTTGATAGCACAAATTATCACAAAATCAATACTATTCAAATCTATTTTTATTTCCCTTTTTTTCTTTTTTTTTTGTGATCCTGCTAACTTGATATTAAGCTGGCAGCGCCACACGTTTCTTCTAAACGGCACGTGGTACAAAATTGTCTTTTGTAGCACAAATTAGCACAAAATGAGCACTAAATAGTTCGAAAGGTCTTTTTCGATTCTGCTCATTTGGTCCTGCTAGCTTGACAGAGGTGTTTCATGGATATCGCATGGCTTCTGAAGATTCCGTCGTGGAACATTTCACAAAAGTACTGAACCTCGCGCAATAGCTGAAAGATATTGGCCAAAATATAGATAATGTATCAATTATGGCGAAGATTCTAGGAAGCCTCCCGCATAAGTACAGTGCATTCAGAACTGCGTGGGACAGTGTGGAGGAAGGAAAACAGACACTCGACAATCTGTTGGAAAGGCTCATCATGAAAGAGAGTCAACATTGCGCGGACGACGTCACTGCAAGTGCCCTTGCCGCGGTTAATATCAGCAAGAAGAGAAATTCTGAAAAGCAAAAGGACGGTCCTTCGTCAAATCAGAACAAAAGGAAGAAAAGTAAGAATGTCTGTTTTTACTGCAAGAAAAAGGGGCATTACGCTCGAAAATGCAGGAAGAAGAAACGCGACAACGAAGAAAAAGAATCAAAAATATCTTCGGGCGGATCATCTGGAAATTGTACTTTCGTACTAACAAGTAGCGACGCGAGTTGAGCGCCAGCCAAGAAGAAAGTACAGCAATTATTGAAGGTCGATGGAAGTGATATATGGATGACCGATAGCAGATCATCCCGCCATATTACTTTTCGTAAAGAGTGACTTTCTGATTACCGGTCAATAAGTGGAGAGAAAGTAAAACTTGGAGACGACGCCGAGTGTGATGTGCGCGGAGTCGGAAACGTACACATAAAAAGACTTGTTAATGAACAGTAGGAAAGTACGGTGATTTGCAACGTGTTTTACGTGCCCGGCTTGAAAAATAATTTACTTTCGGTTAGCGTTGTTACCAACGGCGACTATAAAATGTGGTTCAAAGACGACTGCGTGCATTCATGAGAGACGGTCTAATTTACGCAAATGGTGTAAAAGAAGAC